ATTCTAATACAAACTAACTTCACCGTACAATGTGTCACTGGTATAGCGATTATAACAGAGTTTTTTACAGTAACTCATAATAGAAATCATGATAATCAAATACAAACTAACTCAACTTTAATCACATAGTGTGGTCAATAGAATGGAAAGTAAGTCATGTAACCAGTACTTATCAAGAAATCGTAATAGATCCGATATAAACTAATCCAATCTTTACATAGAAATGACGATAATAATGCAAACTAACTCAAGCATACACTGTGGTCATTGGAATAGCAAGTAAGTTCTGTAACAGAACTTTCTACAATAACTCATGGCAGAATTAACGATAATTCCAATGCAAACTAACCCAACCTTAACCACTTATTGTGGTTAACAGAATAGTAAATTTTGTAATGGGATTTTTTTTACAGAACCTATGGTATAATCATGATAATCCAAACCTTAACCACTGTGTGTACTGCATTAGTGAGTAAGTTCCATAACAGAATTCTCTACAGTAAATCATAATAGAAAAATCGCAATAATTTAAATGCAAATTGTTCAACCATATTCTGTATGCATTGCATAACTGATAAGTTTTATGATAGAAATTTTTGCAGTAACTCACTATATATTTAAAATATATATATATTAAGCAAGATAGGTTGCGCAAAACGCCGCCCATCACACTAGTAAATATATTATAGAAAAACCTTAGCTATATCTTTACCTAAAACTCTTTGAGCAAATGAGGTTGTATAATTTCATAAGGATATAATCCAAATTTCATGGTTCTAAAGAAAAAATTGCGAAAACATGTAGTAAAAATCAAGAACATAAATAATAAGTAAAAAAATAGAATCAATAAAAAAATATATAAGTAAAATAATAATAACAATAATAAATATAACCAAAAAAATAGATATAAATAATAATAATACAGATGATAAAATTAATTTTAATAATAATAAAAGTGATAAAATTGTTTCTAACACTAATAAATATATATTTTTTGACAAATATTTTAATAGATATTTTAATAATAATAATAATAATTTTACTTTTATTATTGTCATTATTATGCTTATTCTTTTTATAACTTCAGGCAATGAATCTGGAAATATATTCAAAAAACTTGCAACTAGTTCTGAAGGATAATTTTTTGTACCAAATGTCAAAAAGCTAAGTAAGCCTTTACTAAGATGCTCTTTACTTTTTAGTGCATATAAGACCTATATTCACAAAATAATTCAATATATAATATAAAACAGGCAAAAACAAAGTAATCTTACTTACAGTAATAGACCTATAATTATAAATTATAAATTAGCAAAATGTATAATAAATATTAACAAATACTGCAAAGCTTTGTACAGTTTCACCTTTTTTCTTTCACTTCTTTAATAAAAAAATTTTGCGGGTAAATATATAATAAATAATTATAACCATCTTGAATAGAATTTACATATGGGCAAAGATCTATAAATATTTATCAACAAGATTAGAAATAATTAATTTATAAAAGAATTATTTTAAATCTAAAAAATTGTTACCATATTCATGATCACTATAATTACAATTAACTACAGTATAAGCATTTATCAATATATTAATAAAATAAAAGAATAAGCCATAAAATAATCATAAGATAACAAATTTTTACCTAATTTTGATATGACATAAGGTATATCATTATAGTAACTTTCTGGTGTAAAACCAAAAATATTTAAGAGTGAAGGAACAATCATTTTTTTAACTTCTTGGGAATATACTAATTTAAATTTTCTCTAGTAAATAATAATAATTGTGAGTATATGCAATTAATGATATACTTTACATGATACACACATTAACCATTCCTAAAGCAAATATATTCTTCATACAAGTATCGAAAATAAAATCATATTGCTTTTGTTCTAAGGAAGGTTTTTGTCTACATAATGCTATGATTTTTGTTGTTAAGTGTATTGGATTATAAAAGAATATAATCAAGATCCGTTATTAATTATGAAAAACTTACTTGTATCTTTTGAATAAATATACATAGGTTCAAAAGAATCCGTAAAATTTATCCCAAGAAGAACGAAAGCTTGACTGCCATCATCCTGAAGAGTGAATGCAAATGATTCTGACGGTGCAAAAGCCTTTCTAATTAATCTTTTATCTTTATTAATTTGTATGTTATATTCTGGTGTAATATATCGTTGGCAACTTTCCAATACTTTGAAAATTTGAGTTATAAATTTAATATACAGAAGTATACAAATAAATAATAATAATAATAATAATAATAATAATAATAATATAATGACATACATTTATTGCTGTAAAAGAAACAAGAAATGTTAAAACTGTATGAATGAGAAATATGAACAGCTGTTTGATTGTAATTTGATGGTATTAGAAAAACATATCCTAAATTCATATATTTAAATTTAATACATTATAACTCTCACTTGGTGCAATTAATTTATTTTCAAAAGGAATGATAGTATTATCCTCAAGTTCCAATGGTATTTCGCTCACTCCTATCGTCAATAAAACTATAAAAACGAGTAATAAACTCAAGTATGATAGAATGATTGAACGCCACAACATATTATGTGACTTTTTTTTTTATGGATTTAGAAAAGCACTAATTATTGCTTCAGAATTTTCACTATAGGTGTATACGCATGTAAGTACGTATTGTTGATATTAATAGTTGTTGAATGAATTAGAGACCATAGATTTCATTTAGCTGTTGAACAAACTATTTGGTCATCCCTAAAACAGTTTGGGTAACATCGCTAACTTCTGATTAGAATTTTCTTTTAAATATCTTTTTCATTCTATTTTGTATATATCGATATGCATTTTATTTAGTTACCGGCAAGTTACCAAATGCTTGCCTGAAAAGTTTGGAAAAATTAATGAACATAGAATACGAAAGACATCCAAAATTACTTAACCGGTAACATATCATAATAATTTTATAAATTACCATAATTTTACGATCCTGAGTATACTACCTATACCTCAAGAGATACTGTAGATAGTGTGAGATTGATATATGGCGTATCATTATCAGGCGCATATCGTTAGGTTTTAAGATTCATACGCAGGTATATAAAATGTATTCAACCATTATGGACCGGGTAAAATCGCCACCCAAAGATCAATATTACATTATACAATAATCATCGGCGCTCATGTTTTACTGCCTGTGTCAATTTCTATTAAATTTTTTTTAAGTATACTGTATAAATGGTATCTATTAGATCATATGTTCATATATTAACATCATATAGAAAAGGAAGTGGCACAAACTCTTAATCTACTTAGGCAATAGTACAAGACTCTAATAATATTCTTGGACATTATCCAGCAATATTAAATCATTTATCGGACATAAAATCTAATTTCATAAACAAACTTTTAATTGTTCCGTCGGTTTTTTTTGGTTGTTTTTTTTTTAAGAAAAAAGATCTATACACGTGGTCTTGGTAGATTTGCAGTCATGGTATGTTTTCGCTGCAATCCTTCATACATCTATATGTATTTATTTATTCAACAAATTCATATATTTAAATCACTGATTAGAGAAATTAATGCTTGTCAGTGAACATTCTGATGATATCTTTACAATTACTTAATGTTATTAGAATGTCAATACTATTTCATGAACATAACATCATAGTAAAAATTTAATCAGAAATGTTACTTATAGAACCCGTGAAACACTTGCTACATAATTACACAAACCAACAAATATTATAAATTGTTAAGTATAATTAGCTATTAAAACCTATTATAAAAATCATTGAATGATATTTCTAATGCAACCATTTGTTGTGAATCTGAATAACAAATCATTTTTAATAATAATAATTAAAAGATACCTTTAAATTTATGTCACAAAACACTCAACAATAGGTTTATTCAGTTTTGTATACGTTTAACATTCAAAGATTTAGGTTCGATTACCATGTTTTTATCTGCCTCGTTAAAGGTTTCAATAATTTTTTAATCGTTATCCATGCATTTAAAGTTTCTTGAATTTTACTTGCTAAAGAACGTTAAGTTGAATATTCGCTTATACATTGGTTTGCCAAATCAATATATATTTTGTGGTGTCCCTTCGCAAAATTTTTATCACCCAAACTAGCCGACTGTCCAGATAAAATCTCAGACATAATAGCGCCAAAACTATATATTCAGCTTGTTGTGTATATATTTAATTATAAGGGTGCCTGCATTCGGGAGCTACATAAGGTAAAACTCCATAGATTCCATCATTTGGTGCAATATTGGCTGATCTAGATAATCCTAATCTGCAATAGCTATATAGATTAATATCTAGTAAAATATTGCCACTATGTAAATGAATGGTTTGAATATCTAAAGCAATACAATGAAGCAAATTTAACTTATCTTTCAATTTACAATAACCCCCAGCATGACCACCAACGTAATCGCTGTTTAAAATCTGAGATCTTGTAATCCAGCACATTTTTATCATATTATATTATATCGGTATATAACAATAAATACTTTTATTAAGATATTATAACGATTTAAAATTTTTATTATAAAAATTTTATTATAAAAGGTATATTGCATAAGATA